TGCTCCAAAACAGTGTACCTCAGGTTCTGAAAGCAGTTACAAAAGAAGAGTAGCAAAATACTTTGAAAAATGGTAGCATGGTTAGAATAAAAGTTTAACCTCTTTAAGTGATTAAGGACTTTGTAAGAGACAATGCTTTTGTTTGTATTTGGGGTCTCTGTATGTGTTACTTGTATACACACCACACTTTTTTTTAGTTATTCTTTATAATTATTTATCATAGATTCTTCCCTATATTTGTATTGTTTGTTTTTGCTCCTATTAATTTTGTACTGTTTTTAGAATGGTATTTTTTTTTTTAAGATTTTACTCATTTGTTTGTCAGAGAGAGCACAAATAGGGGGGGCAGCAGGCAGAGGGAGAAGCCGGACTCGATCCCAGGACCCTGGGATCACGATCTGAGCTGAAGGCAGATGTTTAACTGACTGAGCCACCCCGGCGTCCCTAGAATGGTATTTCTCACATTGGTCAGAGTAATTGTATTTTCTTTCTGAGTGTTGGCAAGTATGTCTAAATTTAGTCCTATAGCTAATACAATACAAAGGGGGTTACAAAATGGTATTCCTGAAACTAAAAATAGCTGACATTTTGAGAATGATATATTTTTTAAAGATTTATTTATTTGAGAGAGAGAGAGAGCGCGAGCACAGGGGAGGGGCAGAGGGAGAGAATCCCAAACAGACTCCCGCCAAGTGCCCCTGAGAATGATATTATCAAAAATTAGTATTCAAGTAGGAAGCAAAAAACTTTTATCCAAGTCAGAGATCAGGGTATAGTATGATGTGAATTCTGCCTAATTAAAATGTCTATAGGTGCTTGTATTAATAGAACTGAAGAAGAGATATGCCATCAAAAGAAGAATGCTTAACGTGGGGACATAGAAAAATAGAGTCAAAAGAGGCAAAACTGCCATGCCACTGGAAAACTTTGCAGGTGCAGGGCACCTGGGTGGCTCCATCTGTTAAGCATCCAGCTCTTGATTTCAGCACAGGTCATGATCTCAGGGTTGTGAGAACGTGAGATCGAGCTCTGCATTGGGCTTTGTGTTCAGCAGGGACTCTGAGGATTCTTTCTCTCCCTTTCCCTCTGCCCCCACCCCCCTGTGCACTTGCTCGCTCTGTCTAAAATAAATAAATCTTAAAAAAAAAAAGCAAAACCTTCCAGGTGAAAAGGTGCCTTGCTTAAAGAATTCAATAGTCTGGCCCTAATGCAGGTATGGCCCTAATGTGAAGATGGATTTACCCAGTCACTACAGCCTATAAAATAACTGCCTTTGATGGGATTCTGTGTTCTCCAAGTAAACCGATTTTAATTCAGCTACCCTGTTACTCTTCCTTAGACTACACTGTCAGGTAGTTGTGAACATTTGGGCTCATTGTATGTTACTCATTTTGGCATTCTTGTTTATATATTAGTCACTTTGTGAATTGCCTTCTGTGAGTCCTGTCTACTCTGAGTAGCAGGATTGAGTTTGTGGACCTGGGAGATGACGGGCCATACACTAGGCAAATTCACCAGAGGAATGTCACCCAGTGAGGCCTTTTGGTGGTCATTCAACTGAACTTACCTTAGCATGCCCTCTATATGTTATTAACCCTTTATTTAAAATAAGTATCATCTTTGTTTTTGATCATTTTCTCAGTTCCTTTACCATAGTCATCCCTAAAGATTAAATAGAGTGGGCCCTGCATCTTTAAAATTATTTTTAAGAACCTATATGGGGGAAATGTGGTCATGTGTCTTTAGAACCCTAGTGGTTCTAAGCTGCTTGCCCTTTCTTCAAAGAGATGAGTGACTGGATAAAATGGGTTGTATTAAAATTTTCTATTTACTTGATCTTCCTATTTTTGTATAATAGGAGGTGTTCCCCTCCAAGGTAAATGACAACTATTTGGAAAACCTCTACCATCCTATTGAAAAGGCATTTCTTAAAAGATATCCTTAACTGTGACGTGTTATAATCCTCAATTTATTTATTTATATTTATAATCCACATTATTTATAGGGTAAGTATGAATTAAGTCAACATTTATTGAGTACCTTGTGCCAGGAAAAGTTGTAGTTACTGGGATTATGAAGATGATTAGCATGGGATCTATATGCTGGAAGGATGCCTCATTAAGCTTTGAAAATTAGTGTATGTGTAAATAATTATGTTAAGTGCTATGTGAGAGGTATTGTGGAAAAGCATGAGAAAGTGATTTTGGGGGGCAAACTAAATTTAAAAGATTAGTAGAAATTCCCTAAGTGGAGAATTGGAGAAGATACTTCCAGCTCAAGGAAAAACTGAGTAGAGGTAGAACAGTGTTTACTGTGAAGATATGTGGCTTATGTGGGGAGAATGGCTTGAAATTCAGCTTAGACACGTGCTGGTAGTGGTGAGAGATAAAGCTGAAGCCTGGTCAGTTATGGCTGTCTTTATTTACTAGGCTGAAAACCTGTGTCTTGTCTTCCTGTCAAAATGGAGAACTGTCATTTATTTATTTATTTATTTATTTATTTATTTATTTATTTATTTTTTAGAAGAAGAGAGGGCATGCCCAAGTTTGGGGGGGTGGGTGGCAGAGGGAGAGAGAGAATCTTAAGCATGAAGCAGGCTCCACATGGGGCTCAGTCTCACGACCCTGAGATTCATGACCTGAGCTAAAATCAAGAGTCAGGCACGTCAGCTGACTGAGCCACCCAGGCGTCCCCGCAGAGCCATCATTTAACTAAGAGTGGTGTTAACCAGCTTTGTAGTGTAGAACAATTACTGCAGAAACAGTAGAAAGGTGGATTGGAGGCAGTCCACCTAGGGAAGGTTTTACAGTTAAGAAATGAGAAGGACAACAACTAGGACAGTCAGAAGAAAGCAGGTTCAGGATATATTTTTGAGGGGGAATACATGGAACTTGGTGACAAATTAGATGTTGGGGTTGAGGGAAAAACTGAATAAACTCCAGGGGCATCTGAATTTGTGGTATTGTCATTAAGCAAATTAGGTATGATAGATTTAGAAAAAGATTTGAATGTTGGGTTTTGGATATGTTGAGTGGCACTGTGTGTCCACTAGATAGGTTGGGGTTTAGGAGAGATTCGGGAACATGGATTAGGAACTCTCTCTTGGTGGTTGGCACTGCTCATGTGCTATCTGAATCTTTATACAACCCTGAAAGATAGGTATTGTTGTCCCTCCCTGTTTTATAGTGAGGAAACTTAGGGTTTAGAGAAATAAGTCATCTGCCCAAGATCACATAATTATAGATATTTTTCCATAGTGCTTGTGTTATCTACTGCTGTGTAACAAACCACTCCTAAATGTTGTGACTTAAAGCAATAATTTTTAATTATTCCTCATGGTTCTGTGATTTGACTGAGCTCAGCTAGGAAGTTCTAGCTTGGGATTCTCATTTGGTTGCAGTTGGCAGCTGGAACTAGAGTCACCTGTAGCTTGACCTGGCTGCATATCCAAGATGGCTTCTTTATTTGTGTGTCTGGCATCTCAGCTGGGATGGCTGGAAAAGCTAGGGGCAACCATGGGGTGATCTCTCCCCACAACGTCAGACCACACAATTAGTCTAGGCTTTCTCACTCATCTATATAGTGGTTTTGGGATAGTAGGACTTGTTACATGGTGTCTGGTTTACTCCAGGGAGAGCTGTCCAAAAGAGCCAGGCAGCAGCTGCAAGGTTTGTAATGATCTAGGCTTGCAGCATCACTTCAGTTATATTCTGTTGGTTAAAAGTGAGTCATAGGTAGGGGGGTGGAGGGTTGGGTTAGCCTGGTGATGGGTGTTAAAGAGGGCACGTACTGAATGGAGCACTGAGTGTTAATACGCAAACAATGAATCATGGAACACTACATCAAAAACTAATGATGGTAATATATGGTGATTAACGTAACATAATAAAAAAAAAGAACAATATATCCACACACACAAAAAAAGTGAGTCATAGGACCCCTAAGGTTCACAGGGGGTCAGGAGCAAGGGAAGACTATAGGGGGACATGAGTATCCAGAGGCCATCTTTGGAAATGAGCTTCTTCCACACACTGCTATCTTTGGAATAGTTTTTGGATAGCATAGAAATAGATGAGTCCTAAGAATGCCTTGATAAAATGTGAAGAGAATGCAAGAAGACAGCTCTGGGAAACATATTTTTGAAGGAAGACCCAAGGAAGAGGAGTCAGTGGGGAAAAAAATACTAAGAGATGGAGGAAGAGAACTTAGAGAAAGTGGTGCCATAGAGGCCAAGGTGTGGGGGGGGGTCACTGCCACCATAACCATACATTCTTAGATTCGGTTGTTATGTTAGAACAGCTGTATTAAATGTACTCAGATAGTTTCGATCACCTATGATGGGACCTGGCCTTCTGCTACCATATTTAAAGGCTGACCTTTTTCTCCTTCTCATTTATTCTACTTTACCCAGTTGATGCCTAAATTTCACAGTTAGAACTTAAATGGCCTAGTCTAGTGTGAAACATTTATACTTTAAGTCATTTTTATTTTATTTTTTTTAAGATTTTTTTTATTTATTTATTCATGAAAGACAGAGAGAGAGAGAGAGAGAGAGAGAGAGAGAGAGGCAGGCAGAGGGAGAAGCAGGCTCCCAAGGAGCAGGGAGCCCGACGCGGGACTCGATCCCAGGATCCCGGGATCATGACCTGAGCCGAAGGCAGACGCTTAACCATCTGAGCCACCCAGGCGCCCCTACTTTAAGTCATTTTTAAATTGTGGTTACATTTGGGATACTTTAGTGAGAGTAGACTTCCATAGACTAGAAAGAATATAGTGTTTCTGACTTCCTAAAAAGGTGAGAGTTCTCTGTGTAGAATGAGAGGGTGGGAAGGTGAAATTAATGGCACACTTCTACTGGTCTTGCTAGGATATTCTTTTGAGTTCCAAAAAAGTAAAAAGTGCCATACACTGAACTATAACATAGCTGGAAAGAATGGATAAAATAGGAAATTTAAAAATTTTTGTTTTTAATTAAATTGCTGGTGTTTTCTTTATTTCAGAGCACAAAGTTATCATTGTTGGGCTGGATAATGCAGGGAAAACTACCATCCTTTACCAATTGTAAGTATTAACTACTTTAAATTTTTTTTTAATTGTTCACAGTTATTTTTTCTGCCTGGGTGATACTTGATTAACAAAAGTAATAAAAAAATTGTATGGTACCTAAATTATTCTGTAAGAAGACAGGTTGACTATAAACCAGGAGCCAGATTTAAGCAACTCTTTCAAGAGAACTAGGAATTTATATGACATAGAGCATGCTCACTTTTTTTTGCTTGTAGAAAGTAGAGAAATACTGTTTATTTGGTTCTGGGAATGAATCTAGAGTATTTAAGATAGTTCACTACCTAGTCCCAGCTCTCTTTAAACCCTTAACTCTTATATGAGCTAGCAGAAAGGGCCATTTGGGTATGAATGTAAAAACTCATGCTGATTTATCCCTTAATTGAAAAATGCTCAATCTTGCTTCCTTGCTAATTGTAATATATTTGAACTTTTTTCCCCCCAGTTCTATGAATGAAGTTGTACATACATCACCTACAATAGGAAGTAATGTAGAAGAAATTGTGATTAATAATACACGTTTTCTAATGTGGGATATTGGTGGCCAAGAATCTCTTCGTTCTTCTTGGAACACTTACTATACTAACACAGAGGTAATGTTTCTTAATATACTAAAACTTCTGTGAACAGAGTGCTTGGGAAACATCTTCTAGATGTGAACTCTTATAGTTAATCTTTTTGAAATAGTCCAGTATGTTAATAAAAGTAGAATTTAAACATAGTGGAATCTTTGATTCCCTGTTTCGGTGTCATTGTGTAACTACTGTCATTGAACCTCTCTCGGGAGAATTGGAATGAGGGAGTAATTGATTAGTCTGATTATGTATTGATCCCACAACTTGTCTTAAGTAGTTGTTTTTATAGTTAGTTCCATCTCATAGTTTGTCATTTCATTTCTCTCTTACTATTTATTTTTGTAGGCATAGAGAGAATCCTAGTTAAATGAGAGGGTCCTGGAGGATTGAATCCTGGCCATACTTTTACTATGTATGTTCTTTAATGCAGCACAATTGCACATAAAAGAATTCTTTTTCTTTTTGGTTATAAAGCAATTTAGACAAAATCGTATGTTTTTATTTACATGTTATTTCCCAAGAGGAAACTTCAGATCTATGACCTTTGAGAGCTTCATTGTACTGATTTTATAAATTGAAAGGCTGTGACAATCATTTTTGTAGTGCTGATTATAAGGTAATAAAACTCCAAATGTATATCAAGATGAATATTATGTTATTAAGACACTATTAAGTGTCTCTAATGAGTTGATCCCTTAAAACTTCACTAAGCATTTGATCATGTTTTTTGGAAAAGGGAAGGTGTATATGGCTAGTACTTCTATGTATAATGCTGCAGGTATCAAACTTATGACAACATCTTAAAAATTAACAGATTTATTAAAATGCCTTGGAATAGAACTGGTCTTATAGTAATAAAAACACTTATCAGTAAGTATCAAGTGAGAGTAGAGGTAAAGTAGCAGTTCTCAGCCATCTGCTGTATGGTTAATGATATCTGAAAAATAGAAAAGACCCTGAAAATTACCAGTGGTTTATCTGGAAATGAAAAACTAGTTCTAAAAAATAAATAGTACATGTTAATTATAAGCAGTCAAAGTTAGCCTGATGGCATTACCTGTGCCATCATAAAGTGACTATTTCTGCTCCTGTTTCCCTAGTGGTTTTTGGTGCTCGTAGAGGTGAGGAAGAGGTGCAGTGGAGCTCAGTACTGCACGGCTCCTTGACGAGTCTCATTGCATCTTTTGACGCTAGTCTCATCATCAGTTCAGGAAAGAGTTGTGCTTGCAGACAGCAGGTACCATTTACATAAAGAAGAGAGCATGGTTTTAGATATGGATTTATTTTTTCAATTTGTTGATTTTTAAAAATTGATTTAACTGTCACATTACTCCCATTATCATGCCCTTTTAGAGTTTTAAATTGATAGTAGTAAATAATATCTGTAGAAATATCTAAAATTTAGGATCATAATGTATTTTTTTGATATTGACTTGGGTGCACATAGATGGGTATAGTCTCATTACCATTCAAGATATTAATTTAGAGAACAAACATGTTACATATTGGTTAGAATATTAATATCCTAATAGAGAGTTAGCATTGTATTCTCTTTTCTTATTTTCTCTTAAAAATTAGCAAACAATATTTGAATTAGAAATGGACCAAACCTTTAGGCTTCGCAATGTTTAGTAGGTATCTTTGGTTTTCCAATAATGCCATATCATAAGGTTCTAATTTCTTGATATTTGTGGTCTATAAATCAAGTAAGTACTCTATAAATTTTATAAATATCAAATTGTATAATCACTAATTTTTTTGTAATTATTTTAGTTTGTAATAGTTGTTGTGGACAGTACAGACAGAGAAAGGATTTCTGTAACTAGAGAAGAACTCTATAAAATGTTAGCCCATGAGGTAAGTAAGATTCCGGCTTACGTGTGTGCATGTATGTGTGCGTGTGTGTTGGGGGGAGCTTCCTTCCTTCCTTCCTTCCTTCTTCCCTTCCCTTCCCTTCCCGTCCCGTCCCGTCCCGTCCCGTCCCTCCCCTCCCCTCCCCTCCCCTCCCCGTCCCTTCCTCCTCTCTTTCTCCTTTTCTCACTTGTTTATTTAAATGACCTCTACACCCAATGTGGAGCTTGAACTCACAACCCCAAGATCAAAAGTTGCATGCTCTTCTGACTGAGCCAGCCAGGTGCCCCTGTGTGTGGTATTTCTGTCACATTTGTTCTTTCTACTTTTACATGACAATACTAGTCCAGTTTTTATTTATTTATTAAATAAACTTTTAATTTTGAAACAGTTTTTTTTAAGTAAGCTCTACACGCAACATGGGGCTTAAATTCATGACCCCAAGATTAACAGTCACATGTTCTACCAACTGAGCCAGTCAGGTGCCTCTACTTCAAATTTTTTAAAAGGTTATTTTATCTGCTAGCCATTCCTGCTTTATAATTTTGACATTTGCCAAATTGGAAGTGTATCTGGAAGTAGTAGAAAGATTGTGGAATCAGTTTGTAGAATTTTATTTCTTTTATCCTAGATTAATTTGGCCTAAGTTTTCCTGGGTGAAAAGACCTAAATTGGATTACATTTTGCATTTTGTATAGATTAATTATACAGAAGGTTATCATTGGAAATGAATATTTTTGGAAAGATTTTATTTATTTATTTGTCAGAGAGAGCACGAGAGAGTGGGCAAAAGCAGGGGGAGCAGTGGGCAGAGGGAGAGGGAGGCTTCCTGCAGAGCCAGGGGAGCGGGAGAGAGAGAAGCAGGCTTCCCGCAGAGCAGGGAGCCCAATGTGGGACTAGATCCCAGGACCGTGGGATCATGACCCGAGCTGAAGGCAGACGCTTAACGACTGAGCCCCCCAGGCGTCCAAGGAATATATATAGATATCTGTATCTATATCTGTATCTATATATATATATTTTTAAGATTTTTTTATTAGAGAGAGAGAGCATGCGCGCACACATGTTAGAAGGAGGGGCAAAGGGTGGGGAAGAGGGAGAAGCAGACTCCCTGATGAGCAGGGACCCCAACATGGGGCTTGATCCCAGGATCCCGAGATCATGACCTGAGCAGAAGGCAGACACCTAACCAACTGAGCCACCCAGGCACCCTGGAAACGAGACTTTAAAGTCTCATGGGCACTTAGCAAGTCTTGATTGTATAACTCAGTTATCAGACTAATATTTAAATGTTGTTGCTCTTAGGCGTTTCTCTGATATTGTTCCTTTGACTAAACAAAACTATCTGACTAGCCACATTTTCTTAGTCTTTGAGAAGTATTACTGGTAGCATAATTTAAAAATTAAATAAATAATATAGTCAGTACTGATGATAGTAACTATAAAACCATATAATAATGTAGTAGCAATTGATTTTTTTGTATGCCTTTCATTGTAGATGTTACTTTCTCAACTCATTTATAGGTGGAAATAGAAAATTAATATTTAGATATATATATTTAATTTTTAATTTTAATGGAATTTTAACAAAGCTTAAGAAAATTGGGATTTCTTTTTGGGATGCCTGGGTGGCACATTTGGTTAAGCATCTGACTCAATTTCTGCTCAGGCTGTGATCTCTGGGTTGTGAGATCGAGCCCCGCGTTGGTCTCTGTACTTGGTGGGGAGTTGGCTTGGGATTCCCTATCCCACTGCCCCTCCCCTCCTCAAATAAATAAATAAATCTAAAAAAAAAAACTGGATGTCTTTGTAATGACGTTTCATATTAATTTTTTTTAATAGAGGGAAAGAGAGTGTGTGCAAGTAGCGGGGAGGGGCAGAGGGAGAGGGAGAAAGAGAATCCCAAGCAGGCTCCAACTGTCAACATGGAGCCTGATGCGGAGCTTGATCTCATGACTCTGAGATCATGACCTGAGTCAAAATCAAGAGTAGATCGCTTAACCAACTGAGCAACCCAGGCGCCTCAGAAGTCCTTGTTTTCTGTGTGGTGATCATGCCCACCATGATGCAGTGTCCCATTTTGGATGGATTCTGGCAGCTGAATTAAACCCCTTGGATTTTTTTTTTTTTTAAATACATGTTGCTAATCGTGCATTTAAAAGATTCAATTCTAGTTTGGGAAATAAGTAATAAGCTATAGAATAGGTAGAAAGCTAAGGATTTTCTTTTATTTTTTATTTTCCCTTTGATTTTTACACCAGGGGTTTATTGTTGTTTACACCAAAGGGTTATTGTTGTTTTATGAAGACTTAGGAAAAAGAAAAATAAGACACATATGTATTTGTCTTTTGGCTGTTTTTCACTATCTTAACAGGTAGCCTCCTTCTTTGATTCTTATTCTCATTTGTCAGTATGTAGCAGGATCAAAGAGCCCAATAGTAAGACTCAAACAAAGTCATTGAATTTTACTAGCTGGGGGTATTAACTGGAGCTGGTCACTTAACTTCATCTGTTAATGGATGTTACCCATTTTTTATGGATGGGTACACTGAGGCCCAGAAAATTAGTGACTTGACCAAATTTTTAAGAGCCAGGATTTGAATTTAGGCATTCTCATCATTCAGGCCCTTTGTTAAGAAATAAGGTCTCGTTGGAAAGTAAGAGACTGAATGGGGAGATTGCCAGAAAAGAAAGGAATTATGGATGAAGTTGGGAGCTAGATTAAGCCATTTAATAGGGTCAGGAAGAGCCAGATAGGTAGTTTTGGAAGGGGCAAATGGATCAAAGAATGAGAATATGAGTGAAAAACAAATTTGACATGGGTTTAGTCAGGTGTACCAAATTTTGACAGGGTTTAGTAACCAACAAAATCTTATTATCATCACTAATAATGATGCTTTACATGTATTACTAGATACAAAACTATAAAACAATTTTAAATATTTCTGAAAGCTTCATCTTTTTTTTTTAAGATTTTATTTCTTTATTTGAGAGAGTGAGCACGTGAGCACAAGCATGGCATGAGGAGGGGCAGAAGGAGAAGCAGACCCCACACTGAACAGGGAGCCCATGTTGGGCTCCATCCCAGGACCCTGAGATCATGACCTGAGTTGAATGCAGACGCTTAACCCACCGAACCACCCAGGCGCCCCCGAAAGCCTCATCTTAAATGAAGTGCAAAACTTTGAAGCTCATGAATTTTAAAATAGTTCCAAACACAAAAGGATAGATGAAAGTTTATTCAGAGTGACTCAACTTCTAGGAATTATCTTCACAAAGGAAGCTTTGAGAAACAAATTGACAACTGCATATGGCATATGGAAGATGCTAAGTAAATATGTCTTGCATGTGCTGCTGTTCATCTTGACTAAATGAAAAAATATTTTTAGACTCTTAACGACAATCTGTAAGAGGTAGCAGAAAGTTTTTTCAAAGTTCAAAATGGCTGATGTATAAAAATTACCACTGTTCACCTTGTACTTTGACCTCTTATTAAGTCAAGTTGATGAGCAGCCTTAATCCAATATATCTCTTTTCTGTTGTTAAACAAAATGCATAACTGGTCCTGAGGTTATTTAATAAGTAAAAGAAGATTTTCTTCTCTTTCTAAATACTCAAAAATAGGGAAAATAGTTATTATTTGTTTTTCTAAAACAAGAAGCCCAAATTTAAAAATTTGAGCCAGTAAAATCTAGAAAAATTAGATTCAATATGTGTTTTGAGACCAACAATAAATAGCTTTATTTTTTATGTTTTCCAATTTTCAGTCTAGGGGCTTCTCCAGATTTCATCACCAGGAGTGATGAGTATAGATTACATGCAAATAAAATAGCATAAATTATGTGTTCTAACTTGTACCAGGTATTTCTAATGTCAGAAATGTGCTCTTTGAACATGCCAGCATTAGCAGTCCTGACCTATATAAGATTTCAGCCTACTCTAGCAAGAGATATGGAAACCTGGAAGATAGGAAGATAGGAATTCCATTCCATGGAAAGTCCACCTACTCAGGGATTCAGCCACATATCATATGTGTTCTGTTTTCCATTTAGGGTAGGAGAAAAAGTATTTGATCCTTGATAATGAATATAGTTGGATGTACTGGTTATAGTCCATCTCTTCAACTTTTTGCCTTTTATATAGACAGGTAAACTGAACATAGGTAAAATAAATTGAATGTGAAATCTTAAAACTTAACATTCTAGAGTATCCCTTTCTGACCATGCTTTTCAGGTACCTCTGTCATTAACTGTGGTAGCATAGCTGCCATCCTGCAGAGGGCGCTGTAACTAAAAGTCTATCTTGACTGTTACATAAAACATTTTGCATAACTCCTTTTAACCAAATAAGAAATTTATTACTTATATTTTTTATTGACACCAGAATAAAAATCAAAGAGATTATTGAAACTCTGTTCTCACAGAGTAAAATAATGTGGAGCAATGTCAGTTTGTGTATACTAAAGACTTTCTTTTTTCAAACACATATACACATGATTGAAATGAAAATATCCTATAAAAATACCTAAGAAGAATGATATCATTCAACACAGTTCAGAAAATTTGCAAGCACAGCACTAAAACCTTAGTTTTCTCAGTATCTCTTTATATATGTGTGTGTATATATACACACACACACATATGCAGAATTTTAATCTACCAGTTGAGTGCATCCATCATGGATTCTTAATTCAGGATCCATGAATGGACTTTAGGGTATCTCTTAACACCCTAACATCATATGTAAATCTTTTTTTGCATATATACATATGTACATTTTTATGAGGAAAAGGTCCATAACTTTCAATAGATTATCAAGGAAGTCTCTGGCTTTAAAAATGGGGAAGGGTAGGATAGAGCAAAAGGAGATAACCATTTGCCTGCTTTGTGAGTAAAACATGAAACCAGTCACTTTGGGGTAGGCAGAAAGGCAAAGATGACCCTCATTTTCAGGGCAATTAGTGAACTAACATTTACTGGACTGTTACCCAAAGCCAGGTACTGAACTGGGGTATTTTTCATGTAGTAGTTCATTCATTCAAACTACATCCCCAGGAGGGAGGTGGTAGTCTCAGGATTTTAAAATGAGGGGCAGCAGCTATAGCGGGAAGATCTCAGTTCAAACCTTGTTTTGAACAAATTCAGAAAAATAAAGAATTTGCCTCAGAGGCAAAGCTAGAAGTGATAGAACTTACTGTCTAATTGAGAAATACGATAAACTTAATGCTAACGAAAATGGTCCTATTGAATATTCAGATCTAAGAAATCTTCATGAACAAAGACTTAGGTCTCAGAAGAAGAGGATTGGTTTAGGATAGCACCTTCCAACTGAGAATTAAACTCTAAGGCCCTAAGCCATAGATTGTATCTGATGAATTAGTTTGTTTCCTATGCACCTGGAAGGTACTAGCTTTAGGTATGGGTACCTAAAGAATAGATTGGGGTAGAATTTTGAAAATCTCTTGCCATGCTAAAGAGTAGCTCTTAGCCATGGAAACCTAGTGTTGGGTTGGGGGAGGGGTAAATATGTATTTGAAGATATGACTGCTAACTATAGCACTTAGGATCTTAAAAAAATGTTATTTAGGGCTATAAGAAATATGTAAATCCATACAAATATAGAAGTGTTTATTTAAAATATGTTTAGTTTTAAGTTTACTGTCCATCAGCGTAAGAGCTGTGAGATGCTTTTATGTCAAGTGGTTGAGGAATTCTAGGTTAAAAGATCAAAAGTATTCGGTTAATTGAGTTGGAAAATGTCTGAATAAAATGCACTGGCCTTTACAGTTTTGTTTGCTTCTGTAGGACCTACGGAAAGCTGGATTGCTGATTTTTGCTAATAAACAAGATGTTAAAGAATGCATGACTGTAGCAGAAATCTCCCAGTTTTTGAAACTAACTTCTATTAAAGATCACCAGTGGCATATCCAGGCATGCTGCGCTCTTACTGGCGAGGGGTAAGAGGTCTTCCTTTCGGAAAATACGTCTTTATTTTAGAAACATGTATTCTTAAAATCAATAAATATTTAAGGCTACCACGTATAAAACAATGTAAGGGAGAGATGTGAGACATAGTCCTTATCTGTAATTAGAGAGTTTTTAGCTTGGTTCTGTAAAGAATAAAACCTAAAACATGCGTGTAATACGTGTAAACGTACTGAACTAATCCATATGAACAAATAGATGATAGAATTGCTGTAGGAATTCAGAGAAATGGGAGTGTCACGGAGAGCTGGACAAGTCAGGAAACAGTTCTTGCACTGGTGGTGGGTCTTAACACTGTAATGTCCTGTGCCTTGAGTGCTTTCCATACAGTGTATCATTTAGTTGTGATAACAATCCTGTGGACTTTTTGGTTTTAATTTACATTTTATCCATGAAGAAGCTGAACTAGGAAAGGATTCAAGTGTGAGACTAATTTGGGGATACTCATTTTGCCGCCAGTGTTGTCAGGAGGGGGTTGTTGCACTTTAAAAAAGGGGTGGGAAATTGGAGAGAGTTTGGCTCGAAGGTTCCTGGTTTGGAAAAGAAAGGTAGATGCCTGCAGTAGAATTTTGCCCTAGTCTAATGCCCAGAGATGAAAGGTTTTCAAGAAAGAAGTGGTTGTCAGCATTGTCAAATATGAGGTCAAGGATGAGGAAGAGGGAGAGAGTGCTATTAGGAGAGATGGAATAAAGGAGGTTAGAAATAGGTTTAAAAGCTGAAAGAGATGAGCAAGTTAAGGTTTTCGTTGTAGTTTTTCCAAAATATGGTGGATCTGTGTATTTAAAAGGATTGAAAAATAATTAAATTGGATGTGAAGATTCTAATTAGAGGTATTAAATTTGAGGTATACGATAGGGTAGAAGCCCAGGGCAGAGATAGATAGCTTTAGTAACTCATTGTATTAGTTCACCTTCACCATGGTCTTAAGGAGAATTTCTCCCACTTCAGCTACCTCATCTGTTTCTGCCCCAAGCTACTGGTCTTGCCTAATATCAGAAGAACCTCAACCCCAAATTTAAGACCTCTATTTAGAATCCCTCATGTATGTATTTAAAAGCAGAGAAAAAAGAAGTAAATTGGAGATGAAGCTGAATCTTAGTGAAATAGAGGGCCCTATTACCTGATTACAGACAATTGATAGAACATAATTAGAACCTCAAAAAAGCAAATATGTTTATAGTTTGAAAAAAAAAAGTCACAGATAATACCCATTGTCCACATACTCATTTAGGTAAAAATATCCATTACATATTTCTTTGTCAAATAGTTGAATACTTGTTGATATAGGTATATCTTTATATGTTATATTTGTCTACCAAAGGTCTTTAAGCAAAAGCACTGATTTTAATACTAAATTTGACAACAAAGATCATGGAGGATTTGCAGAAGATTTGACTTAAATACTTGGAGTAATTGTGTGGAAATATATCATTAGGATAGATACGAACCCTGGCAGTTTCATTTTTAAAAGAGGAAATCAGTGGATGATGTTATATCTTTCTAATTTTTGGTTTATGTGGGCTTCCCTCTGCAGTAGTTATCAAGTGGAAATGTTTGGTTTTGGAGAAAATGTTTCCCTTCTGCGGTCCAGCCACCTTGATCTAAGCTCCAGGTTTTAGTATTGGTTGGTTGGCATTTGACTCCCACCTCTGCCATTTTCTAGCGTCTTTTAAGCCTGGGTTCCCTCTTGTAGTATGGGAAGGGTTCTGGTCCTTTAATCTGTAAAGATTAAGATAATGGGTATTAAGTGCTTAGCACAGTTTCTAGTTTGCAGTTAGGTAACTACTGTTCATTTAACAGTTTGGACTTAAATTTATTTGCCTTTTATTTTTATTGTTTTGTACCATTTCCTATCAGTAGTTTAAAAGTAAGGAATCTACTAACAGTAGGGAAAGTACGAGCCAACACCAAGATAACCATTTATTTACCTCATTGTCTTTTCTTCTTTTTCTTCTTCTTTTACATTGTTAGGTTCATACTTCTGCAAAAATCTGACTTCTGGTGTTTTTTAATTAAATATAGTAGCATATTTTATCATATCTATAAAAGCTCCTCATAGATAATAGTTAATATTTCATAATAGTCTTTCATTTTGTTATAATATGTACAACCATTTTCCTCTCGCTAAACATTTAGTTTTATTATCATCTCTTTCTATGTTTTGTGCTGTTCTCAATTACACATTGTTCACTAGTAACTGGTATTAGTGATTAAGAGATTTTATTCCCTTCAAATTTTTACAATATATAGATGTAACATACATGTGTATACTTTGTTTTACTACCTCAACTATATATTTAGTTTAATATCCTGCCACTTTTATTTCATTTATATCATGAGCATTTTATACTGTAAAATTGTCTTTGAAAGGAAGTTTTTACTATTTCATGATATCAGTGTTCTATATTTAAATTTTTTCTCTTTCTAGGTATTTAAATTTTACCTATTAAAAATGCTTTGATGAACAGTCTTATATATCAACCTGTCCTTGTCTCTTACTGTTTTTTTAGAATGTATTTCTAGAAGTAGAAAAAAGGTATTGATATTTTAAATATTTTTGATACATATTGCCAAATTACTTTCCGTGGATATTCATTATATAATTATTGAGCTCCTCTTATGTGGCAGGCAGCGGTCTAGGCACTGAAGACATAACAAAACCAGAAAAGCGTGGATATACTACTGTGAGTGAGAGTATGGCTTCACCACAGTAACACCAGCATTGAATACTACTGACTTTGTAATCTTTGTTGTTTAGGAAAATGAAAAATGGTATCTTTCCGCTTGTTGTTCATAGCTTTTTAGTTGAGAATTTAATCAAATGATTTTATATTCTTTATAGATTATGCCAAGGACTTGAATGGATGATGTCACGACTTAAGATTAGATGATCTCTACTGACCTCTTCTCATAGACTGTGCATAAACGAAGTGCTGGACTTTACCTGAAACCTGCAAAAATTAATGGTTTAGATATATTTATAATAAACTGATTTAAACTGTTTTCTATAAGAAGAAAAATTAAGACCACTTGTTTGAAAACAAAGATGAAGTCTCACTTTCCAATCTGCTTTCGCATTAGTTCCTTCCAAAGCAAGGTCTTTAAAGCTGTGATTGCCATTTTTTTCATAATGAATCCTCTCAGGACACTGTATAGCCTGTGGTAAGTACAAAGGGAGAGGAAGACATTTTTCACTTTAAGAGCTTTATTGTCAGTATAACCCTCCTTAGTTGAATGTTATTCTCTTCGTGTTCCATTAAGTCAAAATACAAATCAGCACAGATACTCAGTTTCCAATTAATGTTAATTATGAAAAGTATTTTGCATAAGGTTGTGTATGTATTGTGTATATACCTCAAATTCAAGTTTATGGCTTTGATTATGTTCTAAAGAAAAGCACATAACACAAAAAGTAATAATATCCTTTGTTAATAACCATAATGAGATGAGTACTGGCATTGGTGTTAAGTGCCATTTTGTGCTTTGCCCCTGTGTTCTCTTTGTTGTACTGACCAATCCCCAAAATCATTGAGCTGCTCTTAAAAAAAAAAAGAAAGAAAGAAGAAAGCTCAACAGTGTGTATCTATCTTTTGTTGATCAAATTACATACATGAAAACATGTAATCCAACGGAGTGGAGTCTCTGCAGATTTTTGGCTTAGTATTATGAATGGACAGAATTTCACGTTGAGCAATTACCAGATTGTTTCCTTTATTGGATCTATGCCATCTAATTTCTAAATTCTCTAAATGAGAAAATTGTTAATCCATTAATCAATCATTAATTGTGATTAAAATTATCAAGTGATTTTTTTTAACATTAATGGGAAGCTGTTGTGTAAAATATGTCTACCCAGAGAAGTATCACCCTATAAATATTAATCAAATAATTTACCTAGAGTCTTCTTAGGTATTGAATTATATGTCAGTCATTTAAAGGGAGTTTGAGATGAAAAGTAAAGCTTATTTTTTAAGCAACAAAGGTTATTTCTTAATTTGAAAATTTCTCATTTTAGGAATTGGGATAGTTTGAGATTTTTTGTTTCTATACGTTTTCTTTTATCTTCCTAACACCATGTGAATGCATTAACGATTATAAAATACAAACTTTTTTTAATGCTTTTAAGAATTTGATTTAAAAGTTGATCAACATGATACATTATTTTTACAAAGAAATAACTTGGCCCCAAATATCTTATGTTTGCTTAGGATATTTTTTTTTTTTCCACTGAAAATGGAAAGATGTGAAGGTTGAAGGTATTTCTGTTGTAATTGTAAACAAACTTATCCTAAATGTGTTCAAACATATTTTTGGGTACTCTCTTTGCATATGTTTCATGCCTTGAAAATCTGAAGGCTGATCCAAACTGGCATGTTTTAGAATATTGAAGAAAAGAAATAACTACTTTTAATACCAGCCTTTTAGATTTCATGCAGATTTTGATGAGGAATAATAGTATATACCACAAGCATTGACAAAACTTTGAAAGTTTCTTTCTGTAAAATATACTCAATATCTAAATCCAAGTCAGGCATGGGAGATCAGTGTTTAACAGTGGATGTTTTGTGTTTTATATTTATATTACAATGTTCATAATGCAAGTATAACATTTTAATATTTGTCAACCTGCCTTTACAAAAGTAAATTCTAAATTACTAAGTTTTATTTGTTCATATGTTCTCATACTTTTTCAAATCACTATTAGGAATTATTTTATATTAAAAACTCCCTTAAAACCCCAAATGTATTTTGCAAATGTTGCATTTTCATCAGAGATAAATATTCTGTAAAGTAGTCCAGCAAATTCACATCCTTTACCCTTTTTATCTTTTCATTTGAATAGTCATGGCTTAGTCCTGTGGGTTGCTGCCACGTCAATTCAGTGCTATGCCAGCACCTTCCCTTCTCGTCAGGGTGTTGGCTAAAATTTATCCTTAGCTGGATGTTTAAAGCATGCACTACATTGTTACAGTTGGTTTAGTATGGTAGGTGACTGACATGGCATCATGAGAATGCATGAAATCTTATACCACATTTACAAAACATGGTTTTTTGTTACATTCTTCCTTTCCAGGCTAAACATTAGAAATAAGGTTGTACCTATACACTTGTACATAAAACCAAAATTACAATGACAAAATTTTAATTCATGTATGAATATACATCAAGATAATTTTAACAGTATTATTTCCAGATATGATGGAGAGCCTCATGAGTAGTCATATTGGCAATTTATATGCAGTTTAAATAGAAGTGAGCAAAGGGCAGTGCTTTTGGTTTTTAATATGCTACTTTTGGGTGTAAACAACCATCTTCTTTAGAGTCATTGTGCTCACCTTTGAAAAGAACAAAGCTTCATACCTCTGTACATGTGGCTAGATTTGAATATCCTTGTTTGATACTAATTTTGAAAGTCATATAATTATTCTTGATATCTTGGTAAAAGTAACCATATGCTATAAGCATTTAAATATGTTTAATTTTGTGATAATAGCATTTATAAAGTATATCTTACACATTATATTGAGGAGTCTAGTTAGAAAGTTTTCAGTTCTCTCTATCTTCTTTGGCTCTTATAATGGGCAAAGAATACAGTGAAGGCAGGTGGTTTGGGGGGCAGGGGGAAGTGGGTATGGGATATGACATTTTGCCTTAAGAATAAAAAAAGTGCTTTAGCACTGCTGGCTGGCATTTTTAATGCAGATAGTTAAAGTGATTTTAGAAGTGTGGCGTGAAATAGAAGAGTTTGTTTTCTGGCCTTTAAGAAGTGCCTAGTAGGTAGTTACAGAAAAGTACAGGGAGCTTGAGGAAAGGCAGGAAGTCCCTGAGATATTCTTTTCTTTTTTGTCTCAGTGTATAGAATTAAGATGCCTAGAAATGGGATTCTGTTGTCCTCTCTCTTGTAGGCACTTTACATTTCTTGCTGTGACCACAGCAACCACATACAGTACAGACAACCTCAAAATCTGTTTATATTAGTGTAAATAGAAAAACTGTAAACAACTAGATTTCTAGTTTTCTCTGCAGGCATTTTTGGGAATGTATCTGTAGTGTATTCTACTTTGTTTCTAGAGGATAGCAGCACATCCCAGATTTTTCTATGGACTTTGGGGTCATCTTCTCTCAATTACCCAGTTGTATCCTGTCATCAGTCCCTCTTTCAAAGCTGGGTAGAGACAAGGTTTCTTTGCATGACTTATCTTTGACCCCTCCCAACTGTCCAAATATCTAGAACTTCTTGCTGCAGATCAGCTTTCCCATAGCTCAGCTATCCCTTGCTCCCCTGTATCTTCATTCACCATCAGTGAAGGTATGTTACTCAATCCTGGAGGTATTCTAAACTTTGCCTTAAAGCCATCGTTCCCCAAACCACCAGTTTCTAAGTAGATTCTGTAGTTCTTTGCTATCTCCCCACCACTGGCTTGATTTATCAATTTGTACTTTGCTCATTAGAGAGTATTGTCAGGGTTGTTGAGTACATCAGAAGACTGGCTTGCTGTATATACAGCATATAAATGCCAGTAGTAAAATCCTTTATGCTATATTTAACATATTCATGTTTCTTAGTTTTAGCTTCATATGCTGAAAAGTAGATTCAGAAAGATAACAGAACTACCTAGACTTCGCCAGCTCCTTAAGCTGCTAGTTAGGCATGGAAGGGATGAAGTTACGTGTATTTTATCTTCCCATTACCAATAATGGATTGTGTTTTGGAGGATACCTGTGCAAACAACTTGAGTTAGAAGAAGATGCCAAACCAAATTTATATGTAGTGTTTACCCCAAAGACATCCTTAAAACCATAGCCCACATTCTATTTTTTTCCTCATGGTTACGTAAAGAACACAAATAAACATTAGATGTCTAAAGAAATTAGTAATGAGAAGCCTATCTTTGCAAAATAAACCTGTTGAAATAGGCTTTAAAAGACATCAAAGTGAGCCATCATGTGTTGATTCTGTATAGATGTAGATATGATATAGAAAGGTACTAATTTAAAGTTCCTCCTATACAAAAATAGAACTTCTATCTCCGTGCTCCCTCAAAGAAAGTGTGATAGTTTTAAGACCATATTGGTGAAATAAAGGAAAAAAATTTTTTAAACTTTGGATGCTAAAAAAAAATAACTGTTTCTATTAAGCCCTAAAGCGGTGTGTGGAATTGTGAAGAAATTGTAACAGGATACAGTTGGGTTAATTATGCAATTTTTAAAATCAATTGTCTAGTTGTTATGTATTGTTCTTAAAACTAAAGTCTGTGGTCTTGCCTGCTAGATACATTGTTCTTGGAAAGAATATTCCCATAGTCTATACCCAAGAAGTGCCTAAAATTAATTTGTGTGGGATTTTAAGTCCATCTAATAAAGTATATGTGTTTTCTATGGTACTATATGTGCTTGGTGTACTGATGACAAAGCCCTGAGAATTTCTAAGTCACAGTTTGTGCTTTATTTGAGTAAAAAAAAAAACAAAAACAGAAGAAACCTAGATAACAAACTATAGTTTAGGAAACATGAGGAAAACCATTTTTTCTCTTTCCTAATAAAAATGTTCTGTTGCCCTTTTGCTAATGTAGAGGCTAGAAAACTGAACCCTGTTTCTGTTTTTTAAAAAACAGTTTTCACACACAGAAAATTATATTGTGTGGTTTTGTGTGTGTGTGTGTGTGTGTGTGTGTGTGTGTGTGTGTTTTAAAACCTTAGTGAAACTTTATCGCTTATTTAAGAGTAGCCTCTTAAGTCTCCTCATACTTAGCGGTTAGTAATTTTGATCATATTGTTTACATCTTGATCCATTTTGTGTGTGTGCATGCCCAAATCCTTCCTCTTTGTTTAGATTCTACTTACAAACTAAAATATTTGATAGACTTCTATTATGTTTCTCATATTTCCCTTCTTCCCTCCCTCCCTCCCTCCCTCCCTTCCTTCCTTTTTTTCTGACCATAGAGTGTGACTCTAAATTCTGGGGGCAGAGACTTGACTGTATTTTCAGTGATTTACAATAACATTGTGTTTATATTTTAAATCATCTTGCATGCAAAGTGAAATGTGTACATGATTTTAAATAATTGTATACTATTCTCTTCTCCAAAACCTCTTACATTGGTGATATACAGAATTCCTCTATTTTTGCTTGAACTAGTCATTTAGATTGGAGTAGCCTTTTCTTATATTATGTCCCTCTATGGTTTTTTTGAGAGGAGGTGATACCTGCAGAGCACTTTTAAAAAACTTTTCTGGGTTAATTAAGTTCAAGATAACACATTGAGGAGGAAGTTCTAATCATGTCTAAGCAGGGCTCTTTTGGTTGCTAGAGATGAGAAAAATGTATACTAATTTTAATTTGTGCTTAAAATACATCTTACTAACAGTATTGATTTTAAATATGACAAATTCTTGTAGATAGTCTTCCTTCCTTATTGTATTTTCCTAGAGAAGCCTACATGAAAATGTGTTCCAAGTAGTCTATTTGTATAACTGCCCCTCGCAAATTGAGCTCTGTGTATATTGACATAGTTGAAGCCACATTTAATACAAGAAGAAATTAGGAAAAACTTTTGAAAGTTTTTAGGTTTGCTGTATTGGAATTTCTAATATGATAAAAAGTTTTGAGTCAAGCTTTGTATGCATGAAGAGGCAGAAAAATCTGTCTTCTCTCTTTATCTTTTTTTGAACTTGTGTTTCTCTGTATCATAAGAAAATTTTACCCTCAAGGAATATTCCAAAAAGTACGGATCTTAGAGCACTTGGGTGCTTTTATAGTTCATCGCTGCTGATGTGTTAAGACACCTAGGGAAATAATGTTTCAGGTCTTTCTTGACAAGACAACTTCATGGATGGCTGAGAGTATTTCTGTTTTTGCAGAGGTTGGGAGGGAATGGGCAGATTGGAATAGGGACCTCTCCATTGGTAAAGCAGTCTTATCAGCTGCTTTGCAGATGTGTTACTTCATTATACTTATAACAGTGTTTTTATGTCCATAACTCACTAAATTGTCAAGCTCCAGAAATGTAAGATATTGGTCAGGTGACCAGTGGTAGGGCCTTGTTTATTATGAAATAAAGGAATTATGTCAAGATATGTTTGGGGGGAAATGAAAAATAAGTAAGGTTTTACTGGTGAATTTCCATGTTTAATATGTATATTAACTTTTTAAGTTGCATGTTAACCTGGGATAAAGTGTTATCTCTGCTTTATGCTTTGAGTAAAAAAAAAAAAAAGATGGGTCAAATTGTTACTATTATGTACTATTACATATACCTTTTCTTTTAGAAGGGGTTAATTATAATTATTATTCACACGTCTGTGTTGTCAGTGTTTTTATTCTGATTTATTCCCTGAATGTGTTTAGACTTAGTGATAGTGGCTTTATTTACTGGCCAGGGCTGGGATCTGCCAGGGCAGTTGAAAAGATTTGATAGCTGCATTATGCAAATGACAAAAAGATTGTCCTGACCTTCTCTAGGAACCTTTTTATGGAACTTAGATAATAAATAGAAAGCTTTCTATCTTTTTCTTCGGGATATTTGAATTGGACATGAACCAGATAAATAGTGACCAATTTATGTAATTAATTTGTCTTAAAATGTGAGAAAAGTCCAGTCATTTAAAATGAGTATTATTAAGGTGAACATTCATGAGAATGGTTGATAGTAAACAAGAAAAATGAAGGAAAAAAGTTGGGGAAGAGGCATCACCCCCATACATATGCTTATTTGAATAATGTGTGTCTCCCCTCCACTGGAATGTAAGCTCCAGGACAGCCAGTGACTGTTGTGTTTACTAATTTATATCTCTCGGTGCTGAGCACAGTGCTGAGTATGTAATAGGTGTTCCATTTATCTGTGTTGATAAATGAATGAATGAGAACTAATAATATTTTTGTGGATTTTTCCCCCATGGATAGGTTTTTCTTACATAGGTATAGCATGCTGACATTTAATTTTCTTACTTAATTCTGCCTTATTTCAAAAAGGATTCAAGGTGACTATATGTTTTTCACATTAGTTCTTGTGGTAGAAATCAGATTTATTTCCTTAAAAATGGCCTAAAAACATCATGCGGTGCAGTAAGTGGTGTGTACAGATTTTATCTATTTGAAATTTGTGTGGATCTGCATCTAGGAATGTCAGGAACATAACAGAGTTTATTGTAAGCATCTGCAGACATTGAAATGGTACAAAGCTCTTTTGGAAAAGAATCTGAATCATCATCTTGATCTTTATGCCCTTTGTTCATTTTCACATCTGGAATATCCCTCTTTTGCTCCTAAATCACCTTTGTCCCATGAAAAGAATGAGATTTTTGCAACATAAAATAGCCTCCGACATTCCTTTTAAGTGTGTCCCTTATGACTGGTACCAACCTTTTGTAATTCTGTGACTTCGACCTGCCTAAGTGACCAGTTACTCACATTACTGCATGCCTTGCATTTTAGCAAATCATTCTGTATCAGCATGGATGAGATCTTTTTGAAGCAGTCTCAATGTTTGGATGCTTCTTCGTAGGATTTTACTACTGGTTTTGGATTCCCAAATAATATTCTGCTGTATTTTCATTATTTTCTTGTACAAGGAACATTGTGAAGGACATATTCTACTGAAAGCTTTTTTTCATAGTATTTTTTCATAGGAGTATTTTTTCATAGTTAGAAATATTTCTTTTGGCCAGAATTTCAGAAGTGCAACTACTGGATTAAAAGGTATGATGGAGTTTGAGAGAGTACCTATTCATATTTAATTAATATTGTAGGTTTTTTAAAGCCCTTTCCACTTTAATAAGAGGGATAACTATATTGTGTTATTTGCACTTGTTTATTGATACTGTTTTTCTATATATTTTTCTTTCTCTTTGTTCATTTATTATTAGAATCTTAGTGTTTTTCTTTTTAAAGATTTTATTTATTTATTTGACAGAGAGAGAGAGATAGAGCAGGAACACAAGCAGGTGGAGTGAGAGAAGGAGAAGCAGGCTTCCCGCTGAGCAGGGACCCCAATGCGGGGCTCGATCCCAGGACCCTGGGATTATGACCTGAGCCGAAGGCAGATGCTTAACGACTGAGCCACCCAGACTGTCATTAAACTATACTGTTTTTCATATAAATCAATTAAATCCTTTAAACTGTATATATATTAGCACTTAATCATGATTTTACAGACTTCCTAGTTTGCGCCCTTTAATTTTTATAACTTTTTAGCATATAAGTGTTTATTAATGTAAAAAAATTACATAAGTAATACATATTTCTTTGAGTGAAAACCCCAAAAAAGATAATAAACAAAAAGAAAATTAAAATCATCCAATGTCCCACCATTCTAAGAAAACCAGTATTGATACTTTGGGATTGGTATGTATGTATATATTTGAGTGTATGTTTTCAATATAGAATTTTAAATGCCCTGTAGTTTTCCCACGCTATATTATAGACATTTTTCACATATAAAAATTATTTTAATGATGTATTTGCTGTTTGGATTGTCCCAATTTATTTAACAGTCTCTGTTGATGTACATTAACCTGTTACTTCTCGCCATTAAAAACAATACTGCAATTAATACTTGAATTTACTTTTCATTCAATCTACAAATTGAATTTTTGTGTCAAAGTGTATGGACTTTTAAAAGCCAATTGTCTTCCCCAAAGTTGCCCCACATCCTGGTCATTTCTTCACTCAAAACACATGGCCATCTTTATAATTAAAACACTTTACACTACATTAACCTGCTCTCACTATTCACAGGCCACAACCACTCTACCTAGGCATTTCCAGGTTGTGCATGTATGTTCACCAGTTTTCCCCAATCAGCAAAATGCAGGTTTCTGTGATCATTAGCCTTTAACCTGTTGTGCAAAGCTTACTTGTTAACCTCCTTGTAATGTGTCCAACATGTGCTAATCATTGATTCCTTTTTGAAAGAATAGAAGGGAAAAACCTATGAAAATATATACTTCTGGCTCACCTTTTTTAATACTGGGGAAGGATACTCTCCAACACTTTTTATCATCTAGCAGTAGACGACGACCTGTCTTCCTCCTTGGTGATGCTTTCCCGAAAGCATGTCAGTCTACAACTGTCAGCCTTCAATGCTAGTCCTTTTACTTTTCTGCTAAAGGTTCTTTGTCTTATAGAAAGTTTATATTCAATTTAATAATATAGACTGTACTCTTTCCCAAGTCTGACTGAATTCCCATTTCATCATTATCTTTGTAAGAAAATTGCTTTTGATGAACAAGGTTTTAAGTTTCAGGAATACATCTTTGTTTATTTCAAGTCATACTGTTTGATTTTTTTTAAGTCTCAGCTGATCCCTGGGTGAAAAGTGTTACGTCACCTGTATAATTACATTTCTTTGGTTTACAACTGAGTTGAACATCTTCATAAATTTTT